AAGGATACGCACCAGACTTAATGGTCGTTAAATCTGGGGAGGAAGGAAGGACGTACACGGGCCCCTCAATTCCTGTTCCGCATGCTTTTGTATGGTTGTCCCTCGCATTGGGTGGGGGATTGTGCCGACTCCCCACAGACACCAGACTCTGCAGATGCTCAAGTCCCCTGTACAGAAGGGCATATTTGTGTGTAACCCACGCACCTCCTCCCTCACACTGTGAACCCTCCCTGGGGGACTTTTCTACCCACCACAGTGCCTGCACCCCACTCCATTTGCATGGAGCCACTGTGGACAGGATGCATTTGCAGGGATGCAGGTGGCCACATCAAGTTTTGTCTTTTTGGAACTGTGTGGACCTTTTTCTGTCTCACTGGTGGAATCCATGGATGCGGAACCCATGGATGCAGGACTGACTAATTTGATTTATTAGTCTATTTCTAAATCAGTTTAAAAGGATTAAAAGAACTGACCAAAGTGCTTGTGTATATGGAGGCTTGGGGCCCTGTGAAAAACCGCTCCGTCAGCTCACCCACCTCCTCCCTGAAGTCTTGTGAACTCTTTGGTTGCAATCCTGGGGGCCAAGTCACACCTGCCTGGGGAGATTCTTCAAAGATGGAGAAGCAGGTGGGGAGAGAACCATCCACTGAAGGCGTTTCTCTACAGTCCGTTCAGTCATGGATGACGGGGTTCCCACACTCAGGAGTGTGAATACTCAGATGTATTTGATCCTGCACTTTTGTGTGTGTGCACGTGCAGGGGGTGGGGGGGTTGTTTCTTTGGTTTTTGGGGGTTTTTTTTGAGTGGGAGTCTCACTCTGTCACCCAGATTGGAGGGCAGTGGCCGCTCTCGGCCACCGCAGCCTCGACCTGCTGGGCTCCGGCGATCCCTCCACCTCAGCCTTCCAAGTAGCTGGAACTACAGGCGCGCATTACCATGCCCGGCTAATTTTTTTTTATTTATTGTAGAGATGAGGTCTAGCCAAGTTGCCCAGGCGGGTCTCGAACCCACAGGCTCAGGCGATCCACTCACCTCAGCCTCCCAAAGCGCGGGATTATAGGCTGAGCCACCAAGCCCAGCTTCTTTCTGATTTTTAGAAGGCAGGATTTATTGAGAGGACAGAAAAGCTCCCACAGTGGGAGGGGACCCAAGGGAGTTGCCCCAAATGTTGTTTCTTAGAGAATAATTGGCAGGAATATTTAGCAGTGAAGAGATTAAAAACTCATAATAATTGTTCCCCCCACACATGAAATAAGGTAAATGTATGCTGGGCCCAGGCCCTAGTCACAGGAGAGGTGTTTAGAGCACTTGTCCAGAGCAGGCACGTGGCCTTTTAAAGCTAAAATAGAATCGCCTGTTTGGAGGGTATTTCAAGGCCCACTCTCCAGTCTGTGCAAAGGGCAAGGCCTTGATGATCAGAGCCTTGGTGTCTTGTTCCGGACTGGCTTTCCGCTGAGTGTAGTCTGCAGGGAGACCGCTCAGAGTCCTGTTCCTAAGACAAAACAGACCAGACAGTACAATTATCTAATCACAGCCAAAGGGGCAGCAGATAAGCCTCCGATTATATTCTGGCAAAGACACATTGGGCTTCAGTGTTGTTGGGAACAGATTTGAGGGTTCTAAGCACTGCCTACGCGACTTGCTTAAAAGTAGCCAGGATTATGGAAATTTACATTCTAAACAACCCTTGCGAGTGAACAAATATCTGGTCAAATAATGCAGGCTCCAAAGTGCCTAATACTTGCTAATAAAAAGACTGAGGACGCAAAGGAAATTCCTACTTCACAGAATTGTTGCCAGGACTCTATGTAGTAAACTGCCTCGTACAGTGTCTGGGAAATAGCTTTTGTGTACCTCACGGAGTCACCAAAGGCAGAAACTGCAAGGACACTGGTAGAGAAGTCTGCCTAGTTAAAAAATAAAAGCAGCCGGGCTCGGTGGCTCAGCCTGTAATCCCACCCTTTGGGAGGTCGAGGTGAGTAGATTGCCTGAGCCCGCGGGTTCGAGACCTGCCTGGGCAACTTGGCGAGACCTCATCTCTACAACAAATCAAAATGAGCCGGGCGTGGTAGTGCACGCCTGTAATTCCAGCTACGTGGAAGGCTGAGGCGGAAGGACCGCCGGAGCCCAGCAGGTCGAGGTTGCAGTGGCTGGGACTGGCCACTGCACTCCAGTCTGGGTGACAGCGGGACTCCAACTCAAAAAAAAAAAAACCCCAAAAATAATAAAAACTGATAGCAAAAGATAATTGGGAGAGAAATATTTCTAACAATAAAAGATTAATATCCTGAATCAAAAGGAGGCTGGGCATGTTGTCTTATGCCTGTAATTCCAGCCTTTTGGGAAGCTGAAGCAGGATTGTTTGAGGCCAGGCAAAATAGCAAAGCCCTTTCTCTACAAAAGGAAAAAATAACTTAGTCATGCATGGTGGCGTGCATCCGTAGTCCCAGCTACTTGAAAGGCTGAGGCAGGAGGATTGCTTGGGCCCAGCAGTTCGAGGCTTCAGTGACCTAGCCACTGCACTCCAGCCTGGGCGACCCTGTCTCAAAACAATTCAGAAGGAAGAAGATGCTCTCAGCTCAGGTCATCTGCTCAGCATCCCCTGCTCCCCCATTGACAGAACCTTCCTCTTGGTGAACTTGTTCTATGACTCAGGTGAAAACAACTTCCCCTCTGTCTGCCAAGATGAATGTTTCCACCAGTCTGGAGTGCTGGTCACATAATCCACACACTGCAGATGGCAACTTGGTGTCAGAGAAAAATGGTCCCACGGTATTTTCTTTTTTTTAAGGAAAAATCAGGGATACCATTTCCCACCAGTGAGATCCGCTGCTTTCTTCCCCTTTCCCTTTTTCACACATAAAACCCAGGATTGGTGAGGAGTAGGAAAGTCGTGTGAAAAAGGTGATACCACCTTTTTCTGGGCGATTTGACAATAACAAAAACCTTTCAAATATACTTTTTAAAATAGTCCAATCTTCAGCTCCCAGTGAAATGACTAACGAGAGCAAGGACCGAGTGCCTGCTGAGATTAGCTAAGTGAAAGGTGCTGGAACAGGGAAAGGCTTGCCACGGAGTTCTGGGACCGCATCCTGTCAAAGACTTGGCCTGAGCGTCACTGAGGAAAAGAACCATTTTCGGTATTGCCTGGTGCGGCCCGGCACGAAGCACATCACCTGTGAAGAGGTCTTACCAAACATGACCAAGCCTCCAGACCCAAGCTCCAGTCTACAGAAAATGTAGCAGATGGAGGAATGAACTAACACTTTGGGAAACAAATTCAGGATGGAGGATGCTACATTTTTTTTTCCTTTTAAAGGTTGGAGGAGGAAGGCTTGTTCTCAATTCGTAGATGAAAGAGACACAATGACCAAGTGTAATGCTTGGAACTTAATTGAATCCATGCTCAACAACTAAGCCATCAGAGCTTGAGGACAACTGCAGGAATGAGAATCAAGACTGAACATCAGGCAACTCAGTGTTTTCTCAGATGCTTTACACTGCAAAGTGCCCCATGAAGTGCATGCTGAAATTTTTAGGGGTGAAATCTCTACAAGGTACTATTCAATATAAACGTATGTACCAACGCACTCACATAAAGACAATATGGTAAAATGTGTAGGTGGTATGCTGTTTTTCTGAATATGTTTGAAACTTTTCTAAATAAAGTAGAGGAAAATGTATCTTTTCACCCTACAATCCGCTTCTTAGAATTTATCCAAGAAAATACAGAGGGTGCCTGGAAATGTGTACACGTTTTAAGGAAAAATATATACCAATAACAAAAGATGAATACAAGTCATGTTTGACTTATGCAATTACAAGAGGTTCTCAAAGTGATCATTAGTGTCCAAAGGTTCATTAGTGTCCAGACACTTCTGAAAAGTAATACATAGACAACATCTCTTCAAATGTGTATACATTTTTTGGCACCCCTGGTAGTTTGAATTTGCCCAAATATTTTGTTCCAGGGATGGTCATGGAATCACTCTCTATAATATCCTCAGCTTAGACACAGTCTGTTTAACAAGGTGGTTAAATAAATTGGTGCAACCATACCTGGACAACTCGTAGACATTTATATGATACATGACATGGAAAGAAAAGGGTTAGACACCCAGAAGAGATCTGACCCTGAGCCACCTTTCAAGTCGGATTCTCTTTGCAGTGAGAACTGAAGCACTCATACAAGTTATCACTGACTTCTCAACTTGACTATAAGCGAGGAACAGACTACATGTCTGTCCAGTAAGACTAGCCAAGTGGAGGTTGCTCTCATGTAAGGAAGGATAAGACATAAAGAAGGAAGAGGTGAGCAGTGAGCTCTTTATCAAGTTCAGGCTAGACACCCTGTGGCTAGGTAGTCAGAGAAAGGATCGGGCTTCTGGGCCTCACACATGGCTCTGGGCCAAGCCTCTTGAGGCCCCATCCACCAAGACCCTTGCAGTCCTGGGTGGACACCTTACCCACAGCTTACAAAGAAAAAGAGAAAACAAGTGAGGCTAAACAGCCTGTCCCAGGGCCACATAACTAGCAAAGTGGAGAGCCAGGATTCAGTCGAGGAAGCCAGATTTCAGCACGTGGGCCTTTCCAACCTCACAAACCACTGAGGAAGGGTACTGTCTCCTTAAGGGTGGCAGAGGGAGAAAGGCCAGAGAACCTCGAGATTCCCCCTCAAGACTAATGCTCTGCAAAGCAGCACCCAGAAAACTCATTGAAAACAGGTCACTTGATCGCTGCTAGGCTTTCCAGTGATGCGAGGATCAGCAGCCATGCTGGCAACATGAAGCCAACTTGTCTGTGATGGGCTCTTGCAGATGAGCCAAGCAGGATGAGTGACCTTCTGACGCGTGTCTTTCCCATCTCAGTCAAAAATGCGTGCTGTGAACAGAGGCACGGTATGCCACATGAAACCCTGTGGCTACAGACGGCAACTTCAAACAGTAATTTTAAGAATTCCTTTATTTTGGGTAAAGGGAAAGCATAGATCCAAACCCCAGTGATTTCTCTAAATTTTTATTAATTTTTTTTTTTTTTTACAGTTTGATCCTCTTGTGAAAAAAAAAGAATTTAAAGATGAACAAGTCAATTACATTTTTTTCCAACAGCAATTAATCCTCATTTCAGAGAACAAGCAAAAGACCTGTGGCACATTGTCTTTGGAAAGATCTTTTGCAAATCTCTCTTCTAAAAAAAGACTATAATTCTCTCACAGATCACATATGTCTCTTTCAAATGACTATACAAGGCAGCTAAATTTTATTCACAAAAGCCCCGAGTTGCAGTTCCATTGCTGAAGTAGATAAAATATATGGAGTCCCCCTTCTGAGTCTGTGTTGCACACCTTCCCATGGAGAGCATCACTGCTTCCCTGTCCTACATACAAATTCACTGTGTCGACAACAGCTGGCACGTTATTCCATAGTCACTAAGGAAAAATTCATTATTTTAAAGATAGGCCAGTGATTTTCATTACCAACTGGACAATTCATTCCTTTAATTTTAATAATACCAAGGTTGACTCTCCTCTAAAGTTATAAGAAAGCAAAAAATATATAATATAATATAATATATAATGGTAATAAATAAAAAAGGCAACCCTGCTCAGGTGTCATCCAAAACATGATCACATTCAGGAGGAAAAAAAAATTAAAACAAGATTTGGGATCCATGCGCACGTGCGTGCGCACACACACACCCCCAACTTGAGCAGTGGAGACTTGATACTGGGGGTATGTACAGTAATTTTTACAATACATGCTGACGGCCTGAACAAAAGGTGAAGTTAATACTGCCTGTGTTAAGTATCACTTACACATCTACTTTGAAGCAAAGCAAGTTGTCCTTCTTGGGTGGCCACTGTCCTATGTGACGGGGTGGTGTGGCCAGCCTCACCATCAAAGGCCTTGCTCCTTTGTCCTCCCAGGCCAATCCGTGGACACTGAGGCTCACACAGAGCTACGGGGTTTTCCTCCTGTCCTCTCAGGCTCCCTCTCCCCACCACAGTACCTGTTGATACCTGATGCATGATGGAACAGAATAGTGTGACTTCTCCCCGAAAATAAGAAATTCACAGCCACCTAAAGGAAAGCAACAGATGGCGTGTGCCAACTCATGACAAAGAAGAACTAGAGAATGTGGTCAGTGTCCACAATTCATGAGAGACGTGCATTCTTCGTCACCGAGACGCCAGCACAAATGGACTGCATATTTGGAGTTTCCATGATGGAAATCCCACTTGCAGTGTTTGAAGGAAAATCCCTACACTCTGCTCTTCTACCACTACATCTGCCCCCAATTAAATGATAAGAAATCAAGGCACAGGAAAAGACCCTCCACCCATTCATTCTAACTGGGACCAGACACAAAAGAGGCAGCCCGCCCAGGAGAGGGGACAGAGACCCAGACTGCTGTGGCCAGTCCTGGATTCCACAGGCCACAACAGAGAGCCCTTGCTTCCCAGTAACAAAGCCTGTGTTCTCATGCTTCTAAAAGAAGCCCAGAATCTTTCTGCAAGACTTAAATATTGCTGACCAGTATAAAGAGGGCAATAGATGAAGGAGCCAAGTTTTTCAAAGATTTTTGTGTAGTGTTTGGGAAAATAAATCATTAAGAAAAAAAGTAAGAGAATTGGTGAGGGTACATCAAAAAGTCCCAAGCCCAACCTCAAATCTGCTTTAATTTACCTTAAGATACACAGATACACCTCAGACTTCCTCAAGCAGAGGAGTCAAAGGTACATGAGCCATGTAGCATCCCTTGAAGCCAGGCACAACAAGCACAGTGTGATTTCAGAATTGGTTTGGTCAAAGGCACAGTAACTATAATCCAATCCCATCAGCCTCTTCCACTCTGTCCAAGCTTTTGGATATCAGAGATAACAGCTTTGTTGTCTTTGCTTCTAAAGATTACTGAAGAGGAATCCTAATAAAATAGTAAGCTTGTGATACTACTAACATTCACGGGTAAAGGACCAATTAAGGCAAGTCTTCAGCCAGAAAGGGGTGGAGGTTTTTTGCTTTTGAAACATCCTGAGATCTGGTATTTAAGGGTTGAGGACAAAGGAGAGAAGGGTGGTCCAATTTGTCCAGGAGAAATCGCGACACATCTTGGTGAAAGCAGATTTAGAAAGTAAAGGGCCTTTTGCCAAAAAAACTAGATGCTTTTCCCAGTCAATATTGTCATCAAATCGTAACATCGTAGTTGCATCACCCTCCTGTCGTGACCCAAGTCCTGCAGCTGTTTGACAGGTCCTCCCACTCCCTATTCTTGCTGCTGTGTGGGCCGTGTCTTCACAATCTTGACCCAATGTCATTTGGTAAATTTCAGGAAAGTGTTTTTCATTATATTGCACTGCAGGGCTCTTAAGTTCACTGATTCACATTTTAATTATCTCCAGAAAGGACAGAGACATTCAACACATTTTAGAATAAAACAGTATTCTTCCATTTCCTATTAAAGACAGACACCCAGACACACACGTAACTGTAGTGCCAAAGGCAAGATGTACACTCTGTTTTCACTCCTTGTTTTATGTTTGTCTCACTGTGAAGTGTGTCCTGTTGCTGTTGTTATAAGAACTTCATGTATTCAAAGGCTTAAGTGTATCATCTAGCCCTTTCAAATTATCTACTTTAGTATAAATTTTGCCTTTGGGAATTGTAAGCATGCCGTGAAAAAGTGCACATGATTTTAAAAATCCTTTAGATTTCTCTACACAACTGTAACAGCAAAAAGACCCTATGAACATTAGGGGTTCATCAGCCACACCCTCTTGAATATTCTGTTAAAAAGGCAGACCTAGGAATTCTCTCTTAGGTACAGTGCGTGTTGCAGTAAGAACTGGAAATATCCAATGACCAAAATAGTACAAATTGATCTACACAAATGTGTTACAGTTTTTCAAGAGACAAATAAAATCTTTATATCAAGTTCAGGGGGAAAAACCACAAAGAATAAGGCCATGGGGAAAGCAACCCATTAAAATTGGCTGAGAAATTGACCTGGAAATGTCTTCGGTTTGGGCAGCACACGACATACAAGCTCCAGGACAGTCTACAGAGATCAGAACCTGTCACCAAGGACACAGCCCTTCACAGTCGACAGGTAACTTGTTCTGGACAGGATGGATAAGGAAAAAAGAAATGTCAAATAACCACAGAAGCCTGATTCTGGTGTCTTGGCCCCTACAGACGAGATGGACACACAATGCCACAAGCACACAACCTACCAGGCAATGAGTGTTCATGTCACAACAGGTTTTTCAACTTGTCATTTAAGAAAGACCATAGCTTTGCTTTGGAACATCCATGAATGAAGCCAGTTCATCAGGGTCATGCAGCAAGGTTCATACTCAGACATGACTTCACTGCCCTGCCGTTCTCCAGCCTTAACTGCAGCCTGAGGTAACTGCCTCTATGCCAGCCAGGGGTAAGAGCAGGACAGGCTGGAGCAGACACCAAAGGACAGCGACACACACACCATCCATGCTGGGACACAGGCATCACTCCCACCACCACACTCACCCGTGGCTATTGACTGAGCAAGTTCCTACATTCATCGTGGGGCTCACAGATGTCTTCACTGTGAGTAAAGGTGGTTCTCCCTAATCCACCAGTAAATAAGTCGGAAGATGTGAGACATAATTGGTAGGAAACGTGTAGGGGGCGGGATGGGGTGGAAGGGAGGGAAAAGAGTCAGAGATGACCTCGCTCCTTGATTCAACACATATGCCAAGGCTGCTTCCTTCTTAAAGAGATGGAAAGAATTGGCTTTTAAAAACACTGCACTCCAAAAAATGTTTCCATGATAACCTTAAAGTCTCAATGAAAAGGAAACCTGTGCTTACGGGCGTGTGGGAGTCCTTCTGTTCAGGTCACTCCTTTGACTTGGCTTGATGTGTACACTATGGCAAGAACCTACATGAAGGCCACAGTTCCTCAACCCACCACATCGAGTCGATGGAGAACACTCCAGCACGAAGGCATGTGGTGATGGGTTTTTTAAAAGTCTAATTAACCACCCCAAATCTCCACATCCTCTCAGGGAGTTAATTTCCCCTAGACAATCAAGGACTCTGAAAGTTAGTTTTGCTATAAATATAAAATAATTTGTAGCAGAAAAATATAACCTCTCTAAGAAGTAGATTTCATTTTTCTTGTTCACTGACAAAACTCTTGAGTTGGTTGGACAATATGAGTAACCACGCAATTGTAACCACAGATCAGCACCTCCAATTCCAGGTCTACTTCAACAAAAATTACAAAGCACTCTAGTCATCTGGTCAGGTACAAAGGCTGGTTCCCTTCTTCCCCAGGGTAGGACATTCAGAATAGAGTGAGCGGTGACCACCTGGTGAGATCATGGGAGCAGCAGCGCCATGTCGTCCATGGTGTGCGGCCAATCTTATGTCGCCCCAGGCGCTGTCCACCACTCCGACCTGGGCTAACCTTCAGCATAGTATCAGGCAATTGCCTTCCATTTTATAAGTTACAACAGTACTCGGTATTATCAAGCCACTGTTCATTGGCAGAAAGTGGGGTACAGTGGAGTCCTTCACAACTTACAGTTTACAGATGGCCACTAGGACCTATTAAACAGATGTTTCCCCCAAAACAAAAAAGAAAAAAAAATCATCCACAAAACCCTTCACCAAAAATCATTGTTTAAAAAAATTTCCTTCTGGGAATGGACTGGTGGCTACTGAGAAGATGAAGTTTGCATTCAGAGCTGAAATTGCTTCTTTTCATCTTATTTGCAACTTGCATCCTGCTGGTAAAAATATATATATACATGTATATAGAGAGAAATGTTTCTAGACCATTCCTACACCCATCTGGGCTGCATTGCACTCTGTCTTCTGTCAGGAGAGGCAAGATCATCTCTGGAACCTTCTCCCTTCTGTGTAATCATCACGCCCAAGCAGATCACATATTCTTGAGTTGCAGTGACACTTGTCCTTACTGTCTCTGGTGTTTCTCTTCTCAAGTTGGGTGTCCTGATGAGACAAACGTTCGGACTATTTTTGAGGCTTCCAATGTGCAAAAAAGTTCCCAAGGCCTCAAATTCACTTGGGCCTCCCTTAAGGTGTTTTGGTTAATTCCTGTAGCTGCTGAAAACCCTGTCTTGTGTAGTGCACCAGGTCCACCAGACTGCTGTTGAGGGCCAAGGTGCACACGCTTGTGCTGAGCTGAGTGAAGAATTCTGCAAATCGAACAAACATACACCAGTAAATGCACATGCACACACAATAAAAAAGGAAGCAAAAAACCAGGATTCCAGAAGCTCTGTCCCCACAATCTTCTGCACTTTATGGATCACAGCAAAACATCCCCACCTGCTGTGAGGACTTGCTGTTCTCCACATCTCTCTCTCAGCCAGAAATCGGGTTTTTTCTGAGTTGAGTCTACAATGGGAAATACAGTGGCTGGCCCGTGGAAAAATCCCCCGTTTATACTTTTGGATCAGTGGATATACAAATGAAAAAAAAGAAAGCTACGTGAAAGCCATCATCAGTTTGCTAACAAAGACAAAGCTCTTGGAGGCTGTGAGAGGGTGAGCGGCCACAGTCACCGGGCAGCAGGGGAACACGAGGGAGGGCCACTGACTGGCCTTGATGTGCCAAGGCACTGACTTAGTGGTCAGTGGCACTGACGTCAAGCAGGCCCTAACTGCAGCTCTGTCTCACCTCCACTCGGGCTTTGTCAAGGGCCTCTGACCCCACGCCGGTCTAGGGCTTGCTGTGCTGTGTCTCTCGCCCCGCAGTGCCACCTTTCTTAACACAACACTGATAACCATCTTCTCAAGACTTGGGTTATGCTACTTCCGACCTCGGCTGCATTGAGCCTAGGGATAGCCAGGGACTGTCTCTCTCCATCTGCTCTGCCCTGCTGTTGTCATTTCGTTCAGGCTGAAGTAATGATGCCAGAACTTCTCAAGGGAGAAGGGGTGCCACGACTACTTATTTATTTATTTAGAGTTGGAGTCTTACTCTGTCGCCCAGGCTGGAGTGCAGTGGCACTCTCACAGCCACCGCAGTCTCCACCTGCCAGGCTCTGGTGAGCCTTCAGCCTCAGCCTCCCAAAGTGCTAGGATTACAGGTGTGAGCCACTATGTCCAACCTACATTGAGGTATTTTTTTTTTTTTTGAGTCAGAGTCTCACTTTCTCACCCAGGCTGGCATGTAGCAGCAAGATCATGTCCACCACACCCTCAACCTGATGGGCTCAGGGAATCCTTCTACCTCAGCCTTACAAGTAGCTGGGACTACAGGCGCATACCACCATGCCCGGCTAATTTTTTTATTTATTGTAGAGACGAGGTCTCGCCAAGTTTCCCAGGTTGGTCTTGAGCCCCCTGGAGCTCAGGCAAACCTCTCGCCTCCACTTCCCAAAGTGCTAGGATTCCAAGTATGAGCCACCAAGTCCAGCCACAGCCGCTTCTTACTTGGTTTTGCTAAGATCTAGCCACAGGAGCCCAGCCCCATGCCACAGAATGCAAGGAAGAGCCACATCTAGGATCTGAGGCAGAACGAAGAAAACACGAGAAGGAAACAGTCCACGTTTCCTCTTCTTCAAGAAACTAACCATGCACCAATATCACGTCCCAACTGCAGCCTCACTCCCTCCCATTCCCCATGTCCCAGTCATCACCACTACAGTCACTTGCCTTTTGTCTTCCTTGTAAGGGCCTCAGCCTGTTCCCAAAGGTCAAAGGCGGTGAGGACATGAGACGTGATGGTGACATAGGAGGAGGTCATGTTCTGGATGGTGACGGGGGTGCTGATGGTGGCAGCCACCCCGCCACTCCCCACACTGCCAGCGCTTGGCTGAGACCCGAGGGCACTGGCAGGGGAAGGCATCGGGGAGTGTGGGGACGGTGTGCCTGTGCTTCTGCAGGGAGAGAAGGGAGACAGTCAGTCACCTGTACCCAGACCACGGGCTTGAAGCACAAAGGTTCCATGTGTACCTGCCAAAGCGATAACCACAGTTAAAACCACGCCTGCCAGCTCAGAGACACCCTGGCAGGCTCATCTGGATTCCAAATGTGCTCCCCACACCCTGTGCAGGCTGCTTTCTCTACCTGAACCCCTTCCTCTTCCCATGTCCAATTCCAAGTTATCCTAGGAAAATTATGTTTAATATATATGTCTTAAATCCACTCAGTAAACACTAATGAGCACTTACCTGTAAGCACCTGGCACTCTATAAGACACTATAACTGATTACATCACAGTTCCCTCTGTTACCAACTGAACCCACTCTTTTCTTGCATTTGTGCACTGTCTCTTCCTTTCCTGGGCCGCCGCATAAGGGCGGAGACTGAGTCTTATGAATTCTGCGCTAAGAGTCAGGCTCTTGATAACACCTGCAAAACTAATGCGCCAACGAGTGAGTGCAGGACAGTCCATGAGGACCAGGCAGGAAGTTCCTGCATCAGGGGACAGAGTCTCATCTTTACTCTGCTCTCAGCTGAATGTCTGGATATGCTCACAGGGACGGAATAGGAAAGACGCACCGAGTACATGGATATGAAATGAAAAGAGGGGTCACACAGAAGCATCGCAACATCACACTGCCCTTCGGGTTGCATGGACCCTATGTGCACCCACAGAGGGTGCCCTTGCAAGGCCTCGAGGGAGGGCTTCATGGGGCAGCAGCTCTTTCTGCTCCGCCTTATCAGTTGAATCCCCAGGAACTACAGCAAGCTCTGGTATGAGCAAGACACTCATACATGCTGGCTGGACAGACGGCTGAGGAGGCCAGCTACGACACCGTGATGGCCAGCCTGCCAGCTTAGAGTGACTGTGCAGAGGCGGGAGTCGTGGGCATGCTCAGAGGCAAGACGCTTATTCTCAATAGGACTTTCTTTTTTAAGAGAGGCCGATCTGGGAGTCTCTTCTTGGAAGGTGCTGGAAGGGGGGCAGTCATGGAAGTGATGTTCTTAAAATAGCAAAACCCACTGGAACCAGGAACTGCATAATACATGTGACCAAACTCCAAACACACTAGACATGGAATTGCACCTTCCTAAATACAGGGAAGGAAATTCACCATTTTAAAAGCACTTGCACAAGGATACTGTTTTTCCATATCTTGCAGCAGAGGTGAACAACTGCAGTTCACAGAGCAGGGAGAAGGATTTTGCAAAAGATTGCTTTTATTCTTCGTATCCCTGGTATGGATCCTGGAGAAGGTGGCAGGTACATGGCTCTGGAAAGTTCTCATTTACTGAAATGCCTAGAAGACACGTCATCCTTAGAGAGGGAGACAGGACCCTCCTGGCACTGCCACTGCCACTTGCTGTTTTGTGTTCTTAGGCTTATCTCAAGGTCCTCAAAGCTCTAAAATTCCAACTCTACATTCTTTGCAACTAGCTTTTAATGTTATCCAATTGGCGAAACAAAACCCACTTGATTTATATGTCTTTCTCAAAAGGCAGAAATATGCTAGCGTGTTAGGTTTAAGGAGTCAGAGCACACAGATGAAGCTGACAATTTTTAAAGAGACAAAATCACACATACATACATGCACACAAATGATCACAAAAGCAAGAGGTAAATAAGTGCATGACAAAGTTTTGGAAATGATTTAAAATAGGCTTCCAATTACCTTGCGATGCATGGAGAAGGTGTCTGGGCAACTCTGGAAGAACTCTCGAAGTGTTTGTTAAGAGTGCGAGAATACTTTATTGCTATGTCTTTTTTACAGCGAAACATCGCCATATTCAAAATGGACTGGCAGCGCACGCTGGGAACAAAGAAGTCACAGTGAAGGATCATCACCCTGTGCCCATTATCTGTCACCCTACAGAAAAACAGCCACCCAGCCTCTGCAGTCTGAGAAACACACTGGCTTCCCCTCATCTGCCTGAAGAAAGACATCCAGAATCTTCCTGCTCTATTCACATCATCCCCAAAAGTAAACACCAGTGGAAAAAGCCCAAGTATACAAAGATACAATGTAACTTTCATGGGAACAAAGCATTTGGCTGCTCACCAGGAAAATGGCAGCAGACACCATCTTATAATAATTATCAGTGGGATTAGCCCTTTGACTCGGGTATTGTACTGACTTGCCTTTCCTCATAATTTTCACATTAAGAAAAAATTCAAAGCCTCTCTGTAGCATCAAAAGATTGAAACAAAATTTAACACTAATTAGACAAATTAAAAAGTACACACCATAAAACAGCAAATATTTTCTCTTGTGTAGGTGCTGTGGCATCTGCAAAGGATTTCATTGACATTATGAATCTATAGAAAAATGAGAAGGGACAGCCGGGGAAACAAGGCAGTTAGCAAATCCCAGACATAAACACATCTCGTTACGCTCGTCTCTGCTTCATGCCGATTCTTCCTGAAGATGTAAAGACATGAGGCCCTCACGAAAAAAAAAAAAAAACAACAAACTAAACACATGGCTCTGGAGTGACAATACAGGCCCCCAAGAAAACCAAGTGGGACAAGTATCCGCTGTGACCCGCCCAGTTCTTGGAACCAAGAAGAGTCGTGTCCTCACTATGTTCCCTGCTGAAATGCAGGTAAATAAACAAAGCAGAGGTTCACGCTGAGAGGAGCAGGCACCTGATAAGATGCTGAACTGGAAAGACCGACCTCTCCCTGACAAGCCTGGCACTTCCCACTTGCTTGGCACAATGATGTCATTGGACCTGATTATTCTGGGATAGCAATTTATCTAGAACACAATTCTAGTTCTAGAACACAATTCTAGTTTCAGGGAAAAAAACAGTTTTTGGATCACTGACTTGCTCAGGGCACCCCTTACTGAGCTGCCCGCAAGTTCAAACGCACTAAAGCCAGCGGTGGGGAGAGCAGCGCTGAGGAGGCAAACAGACCAGCACTTACTTGATGAGGTCTACCGTTTCCGAGTACACAGAATAAGCGGACTTTGATGCTGGGCTTTCAGACTCCATGGCAATCCCACACTCAATGAAGGACAGGACAGCTTCCAGGTACTTAAAAGCCTTTCCAACTTTGTCTGTCTGTGGGAGAAGAGCAGGGTCATTGTCAGGCCCAAGGCAGATCTTTATTTAGTACCTCACATTCTTTAGTGTAACTTCCCTCCACTGTCACAGTTTAACTATGGCCAGAGAGAAGTCTAAGAACTAGCAAGTTAAATATGATAATCAAAGCCTGTCAGCTCTGACCTGCTGAAAAATCTTTTTTTGTTTTTGTTTTTTGAGAAGGAGTCTCACTCTTTCACCCAGACTGGAGGGCAGTGGCATGCTCCTGGCCAACGCAACCTCGACATGCTGGGCTCAGGCGAACCTTCTGCCTCAGCCTTCCAAGTAGCTAGAACTACAGGCATGCACCACCACACCTGGCTAATTTTTTTATTTATTGTAGAGATGAGGTCTCACCAAGTTGCCCAGGCTGGTCTCAAACCCGTGGGCTCAGGCAATCCTCTCACCTCGGCCTCCCAAAGTGCTGGGATTATAGGTGTGAGCCACTGCTCCTGGCTGAAAAATCTCTTTTAGCAAAAATTCATTAGTAAAAAGAGCTGGGCATACTGGCTCACACCTGTAATTCTGGCACTTTGGGAGGCCAAGGGCAGGAAGATCTTTAGAGCCCAGGAGTTCAAGACCAGCCTAGGCAACACAGCGAGAAATGGTTGCTACAAAACAGAACAAAAACAAACAAAAAAACCTACTCTCTCAAGACCTTATGAAAGCACATATCCAAACTAAGGGAATAAGGACACAGTGCCCTTGTTATAACATAACTTTCTTGAGACATAAATTATTCTACATGTCTGCACAGATGTTTCTCATACTAAGAGTGGAAAACATTTATTATGGCTTATGAGTCACCTGGATATGATATCTAACAAGAATCACCTTATGTGTTTCCGGGCCAATAGGCTATCTGATCTCCTTTGGCAGTGAGGTTTAGTTTCCAACACTACCCTGGACAACAGGGACATAACTGCAGAGTCCCCTCAAGGGAGTGTAGAAATAGGAATCAAATGAGATGCTGGTGCTCACCCTAAACCTGAATCTACACTCTGTCCCTCAATATCCATCTCAGTAAGCTGCACATGGCAAATTCAACACAATGAGACTGATGTAACTCACGTACCACACACTCAGAGAGCAAGTGATTCACATTTGTAAGCTTGTTCATAATTTCTGCTAATGTTTTCAATCTGATATGTCCAAAAAGAAAGAATGGGGCAGGGCGCAGTAGCTCACACCTATAATCCCAGCACTTTGGGAGGCCGAAGTGAGAGCATCACCTGAGCCCAGGAGTTCGAGACCAGCCTAGGCAAATAGAGTAACCTCGTCTCTTAAAAAATGAATGACACCATTAAAGATGTAAGAGGAATACAAGGAGATGGCAACCTATCAGCACAGAGATGGGATGCTGCTACTCATTTCATGAAGGCTTGCCACTGCACCTTTGCACCTCTGTACCCCCGGCCAGAAGCAGAAATGGCCCTCTCCCTGGGGAGCTGACTGTCATACTTCAGTGTACCCTGTCCTTGTGCTTCACCAATAGTGAAGCAAACTGGGTGGCTATACACATGCACAGGTGCACACATCTATGCATATGTGTATTTCAAAATATTCAATCTTATCAGTCTAAAATTTTTAACTTTTAAAAACATTTTTCTAAAGAACTCAGGTTCAGAAGATTAGTGAAAGAATAAAAATCAATGCTGGGGTGCACTGGCTCCTGCCTGTAATCCCATTATTTGGGAGGCCAAGGCAGGAGGATCATTTGAGGTAAAGAGTTCGAGACTAGCATGGGCAATATAGCAAGACCCCCATATCGCCACCAAAAACAAAAAACAAAAAAAACCACCAAGTCATACTTGGTGGCATGTGCTAGTAGTCCTAGCTACTTAGGAGGATCACTTAAGCCCAGGAGTTCAAGGATGCAGTGAGCTATGATTACACCACTGTGTAGCCTGACAGAGTGAGACCCTGTCTCTTAAAAAAATAAGAAATAAAAGACTAAAAATCATACTAGCATGCCCCAATTAATCAGCAATATAGGGGATGATGAGGTTGCTTCACAGACTGGAATCTAATTCTCCAAATTTACTTACACAACACCACGTCTTTCATGGAATTTCCAAAATTAATACTGGTCTCAGGGTAGAAATAAAAGAAACTACAATATAATAGCAATTAGTCAATATCTACTTTTTTGAGATAAGTACATTTTGTAAGGCTTACTAGCCTTACACATACTACTGTCATTATTATGACAATATTCCTGTGATACATCTCCATGTGTCTCCTGAAACAGTGTGAAGTCACAGAGTTCTCATTTCCCGACCCAACAGTGAGTGCAATGTAGAGATCAAATGTCCTCCACTGTGCTCAGGTGTGCACTTATTAGCTTGGAATGCCAAATGCACATCTTTGGGACATTATACAATTAAGGGAGGCTATGATAGAGGGTGGCCATAGGGGTTTATTGTCCAAACTGACTTTTTTTTTTTTGAGTAGTCTCACTCTATTGCATGCAGTAGCACAATCATGGCCACCACAGCCTTGACTTGGTGGGCTCAGGCAATCCATCCACCTAAGCCTTCTAAATAGCTGGGACTACAGGCACACGCCAACACACCTGGCTAATTTTTTGATTTATTGTAGAGATGAGGTCTCATTATGTTGCCCAGGCTGGTGTTGAACTTCTGGGCTCAGACAACTCTCTTGCCTCGGACTCCCAAAGTGCTAGAATTATAGGCATGAGCCACTGTGTCCAGCTCAAGCTGACATATTGAGAGTCAAATGGGATAGAATTATTTACTCAAATGAGACACAACAGCCATGGCCAGGGCCATCCCAGTATACTGGGATGTGTGGTTACCTTATTTAGGAAGAAAAGGTACGCATATGTAAAGATTATAAACAAAGCTCCCTGGAGGATTATTTGTCTGAATAATGAGCGACTCTCTGAGGGAAGTGTCCAATGTTAAGACAAGGGTCAAATGATGGCGGCCATGCTGAATGTTCACTATTTCCAAAACTCAAAAGCTTCACATGCTCTTGGAAAGCTGAAAGGAAGCAGTTGTTGCTTGGTGCAATCTCAGATGCTTCATCTACTCAGGTTACCCTGGGACGGGATGGCTTTAGGGTTTAAGGGCTTCGTCTCTGGCCCCCTTGGAGCACCCAGCATGGTCAGGAGTCAATCGACATTCTGCATAGTGGATAGGAATCTGATGGAAAGGTCTTGGTCCCATCAGCCCTAGCCTGCCTGAGAACAGATGTGAGTCTTGTTACTGGGCTGAGAGCAAGAGCCAAGACTCTCACCGGCCACTGGGGCTGCCAAAGGTTGGTCTGCATTGGGGCCTGTGGACCTCCATACCTGTGGACAGGTTTATATGTAGAACAATCAAGGTAACTCCTGCTTTTCTCCCGTGTTACAGAGTTCATCATGACCTTTCAGGGAGGATTTTGCACTTTACAGGGGTTTAGGTTTGGGAAATGTGCTAAGTAATAGTCTTCGATGTCTTTTTTTTTTTTTTTGAGTTGAAGTCTCACTCAGTCACTCAGACTGGAGTGCAGTGGCCACTCCTGGCTACTGCAGCCTCGCCTGCTGGGCTCCAGCGATCCTTCCACCTCAGCCTTCCGAGTAGCCGGAATTACAGGCATGCGCTACCACGCCCGGTTGATTTTTTCATTTATTGTAGAGATGAGGACTCGCTGCCCAGGCGGGTCTCGAACCCGCGGGCTCAGGCAATCCACTCACCTCAGCCTCCCAAAGGCGCGGGATTACAGGCTGAGCCACCAAGCCCGGTTGAGCCACCGAGCCTGGCTGAGCCACCGAGCCTGGCTGCCTTCGATGTTTAAATATGACAATGGACGAACATTATCCCACTACACTGCCACATGGATGTAAAAGGATATTTAATTATGTGTACAATTAACAACAAAGTCACCACCTTCCAGAAAGTCCAAAGGCCGCCAAGTAAAGAGAATTTGTCTTTAAAGTATGTTTACCAACAGGATAATCATTAGCTTCATCTTGAAATTTCATCTAATGGCCGTGCTCAAGGATTCCTTCAGGTTAATCTCCCAAGGGTTTTAAGATGACTGAGTTGGGCATGGCGGCTCATACCTGTAATCCCAGTACTTAGGGAGGTTGAACTGAGAGGACTGCCTGAGCCCATGGATTCAAGACCAGCCTGGGCAACTTGGCGAGACCTCATCTCTATAATAAATCAAAAAATTAGCTGGGTATGGTGGTTGAGGTGGAAGGATCACCTGAGTCCAGCAGGCTGAGGCTATGGTGGTCATGAGTGTGCCACTGTACTCTAGCTGAGGTGATAGAGTGAGACTCCGACTCAAAAAAAAAAAAAAAAAATTTTTGTTATCCGGGACTGATGGCGCACACCTGTGGTTCCAATTACTCTGAAGGCTGAGGTGGAATGATAGTCGGAGCCCAGCAGGTCTAGGCTGCAGTGGCTGTAAGCATGCCACTGCACTCCAGCCTGGGTGACAGAGTAAGATTCCGACTCAAAAACAGAAACAAAAACAACAAAATAATTGTGAAATGCAAATGAGCTCCTTCCCTTTGCAAACTGCTTCAGAGTTAACACAAATTGCCTGACTTTCAAGAGCAGGATCATTTTTCACATCCAAAGAATTGATTTGGTGAAACAAGTGAGCACTCATGTATTAAATCACCACCCGGTGGGTCACTTAGAAAACTTGTGACTAGGTACTTTGTGCATTTTCCAAGATCATGCTGAATTAAAGGGGCCAAATAAAATAATTTCACTAACACCTCCCCAGACCTTGGTTATGAAGAAGATCCTGACAGTCCCTCGAAAGGCATGACCGGTGGGGCCCACAAGCTCCCTTCTTCCACTGCTGCCACTCTGCCTCCCAGCACCTCCCCGTACACACTGGGTTGATGTGGGATACGGTAAGAGGGGATGATAATTAAAAAAAAAATCAGAAAACATTCTATCAGAGAGATAAAGTGCCAAGACTGACCATTAGCTCTGCTTTCTGCTTCAACTTTTTTGCCTCCCTCATGTGAAGATCTGCTTGTTGTCTGAAAAACAAGGAAAAATTAAGGATGCGTTATATGGTCTGAAAGTGACTAGGTAGGGCAAGATAACTTAAGGAGGAGAGAGTGAAGAAGGTCAGGGGCATGGGGGAGAGCGAGTGAAAAAGGAGGCATAAGGTAAGAAATAGCAAAGTCTTACTTGTCAAGCTTCACGTGGGGCTTTCCTGGCTTAGAGTTACCATTTGGCAAAGAAGGCACTGGAAAAGGGTTTGCAGTATCTCTGGAAGATCCCTTAAAAAAAAATCAGTACACAGATTACACTCTCACATTTCAGATCCTGTCCTGAAAGCATCATCCCTCTTAATTAGTCCAGAATAGTAATTCACAAGAGTCGCTCAAGTCCTGTGTGGTGTAGCGTGGCAAGGCACTTTCCCAGCTTAGTTACCTGAAGCTGTGAGAGGTGGCATGTGCCTGGGACTCACGAGGGTGTGAAGACAAGGATGCCTTAGAGAGCAGGTCACTCACATAGCCACACAGTGATTTCCCTTAGTCAACACACAACCCAGCCCCCACAGACTCACAGGAACAAAGGAGATTTTGAGAAACCGGATTGTTTTGTCTCATAACCAATAATTGAGTAAAACGTTCAAGCTGACAACTAACCAGGGTAACCATTTCTTACTGCAAAGCACTCAACAGAAAATTTGTGGATATTAACTATCTTCCACTCTCCCTCCAGAAAGAATCCTGAGCTCAGTTCCTTGTAGCCTGATGGATAGTAACAAGTGGTTGAGCAGGACCGTGCCCCCAGTACCCACGTACTCTGAGCTCTGTGGTGCTCCCCGAGCCCTTCCCCTCAACCCGTCTGTGCTTAGAGACTGGAGAGTCCTTATGGCTGCTCTTGGTACTGCTGGCACTTCTGGGAGGGTCCTGGCCACAGCTGTCTGCTTCCCGCCTTGATCTCTTGTGTGTGGACTTGGCTGGTTTCTGGGAGGACAAGGACATGGGAGGAGGAGGGAGCATTTCCTTCTTGGCGGGCTCCGATGAGGGCTTGGGAGACCTGCAGGGAGACATCACCAGAACTAAGCGCAGGCACAACACAACTCACACGGTTCTGCTGTTTAGGATGAGCTGGATGTTGGCACAGAGGGTAGCAATATCACAGCATATGACATCGTGCTGTAGAAAGACCAAACTTCAGGGACTTTTGGGTGCCTTTGAAGAATTCAGTCCCGGCCTTGGTCACAAGCGAAGCCTGTGTTCTCCACGGTTTGCCAGGTCCTACCTTACCAGAGTCATTCCTACCTCTTGCTTCACCAGCTCTCAGCCCACACCTTTCCCTGGTGAGGAGCTAAGCCAGCCACACACCCCATCAGTTGCCTCCCCACCCCCTTTCACATCTCTGTGAGCTCCCACGTGGTGACATCAGGCACCTGTTTTGCCAAGTCATTTTTTTTGAAGCTAATTTGTTGAACATATCACAGAATAAGTAACTGTGACTTCCCCTCCATAGAACAGAAGCTCAAGAATCTAGCTCTTTTCTTTCCTTTTTGTTTGGTTTTGTTTTGAGTTGGAGTCTCTCTCTGTTGCCCAGGCTGGATGGCAGTGGCACGATCACACCACTGCGGCCTCAACCTGCTGAGCCCAGGCAACCCTTCCACCTCAGCCTTCCAAGTAGTTGAAACTATAGGTATGTGCCACCATGCCAAGCTATTTTTTGATTTATTGTAGAAACCAAGTCTGGCCAAGTTGCCTAGGCTGGTCTCCAGCAATCCTTTTGCCTCGGCCTCCCAAAGTGCTGGGATTATAGGAGTGAGCCACTGAACCGA